TCACCTTATTCGTTTGGTCAACAAGTGGCTGCGAGGAAAATTGGGCAATGAGGCAGCGAGAAGCAAGAACAGAAAATATCTCTGCATTCGTAGGCTCGGCCTGGCTTTGCATGCCCAATTATAATAGCAGACTGTTATAGTGAAAATTCATCTGTGTTCGCAGATTAGGACAGATCATGTTGCTCGTTAATCGTAACGGCAAGTAACAGGTGATATTCAATTGTGTTTCTTTGTTGCAAGAGTTTCTGAGATAGTAAATGTAGATCACAGGACAGTGGTCAAGAAAGTTTCAGAGTGTTTAACACCTTAATGGCGGCGAATTAGACGAAATTTTGAGGACAGAAATTAAAGGCAATGGACAAATTAAAGCAACACGGTTATACTATTTTTTAGACTGGAGAAAGCTTGCGGAATTTTTTCGTTAGAGGACAGCCGATCCGGAAATTTGAAGGTAAATCTCTCGGATGAATTGGAGTTAACGGGTTTAATTGGCTATGGTCAAGAATGATTTTTTGGCTCTTAGATATCGAGAGCCAAAGGAAATCCGTCATTCGTGAGAGGCTTCTAGCCAATGTACGAGATGAATAGTACCATTAAACAGACTGAATCTGTTCTTAATGGTGGCGACTTTTTGAAATTATAGAGAAATTTAATCTCGTAAACAGATTGCATTCTTTTACGTACAAACCGTAAAAGGGGCGGCACATGATGAAACATGGACTGGACTGGACTGGACTGACAAAATATGAACTGGAGTGATAAAACAAGGAATGATAGAACATGCGTGATCAAACGTGCGTGATGAGCAAGAAAGTTTTTTAACCATCCAAGTTCCATAATGAACGACTACGCATAGGTTGCTACGTTTTTTTTCTTAGAAATTTAAGAGGGTAGGTTAGCGGGCATCGTATAGTTATTTCACGGTATTTAAACGGTATTTAGACAAAAAGATACAATCGACTTACGCGTAGTATCGCTCATTATGGAACTTTGGATGGGTAAGAAAAAATTCTTGCTTATCACGCGCCTTTTATCACGTATGTTTTATCAGCCCACGTTTTATCCAGTCCATATTTTGTCACTCCAGTCCCGA